TATATGGAAAATAGGGGTAGAATAATTCAGGGGGTCATGCAGTAAGCGTACTTGTCACGATCATTCAACACCACGTTACTTTTCGAAGGGGAAGAAAGAAGAGAGGTGAAGCATATCTGATAACGTCTCGAGACACCGATTCTAACTAACTCTCAGACCCCAACCAGGAAGTCGTGATTTACCAACTGATGCTCACTTAACACCAATATCCTTCATCCCACAGTGCCCCGTTATAGGCATCCATCCAGTCTCAGAGCTAGCGAACAGAGACCGTTACGTGAGCCTCAGGGATGACATTCGTCGTACATGTTCAAGCCACAGAAGCCGGTGTTTCCAGATGACGACACTCAATGAATGGTGACCTGTACCATGTGAAAATCCATGCTGCCGAACCTCAGAATTAATCACACGAAGACGCAGGCAATTTTATGGAGACAACAATGACCGAATACACAGGGTCGCTACACATTGTTAGCTTGGAGAGGCCAAATTTCAGAAACGTAGAAAACTGCGCACCTCAAAGAATTGTAAGCCTGATCCTTTAACAGCCAGGCTGACATCACAGCGACGCAAACATAAGATGCTTAACAGGGTAAATTTAATCATAGAAGTAACAGAAATGAAACAGTATGTGAAAACTAACAACAAAAACTCACATTGTTGATGAGGCTAAGTTGGTATCTTCTTGTTTTAAATCACCATCCATTGCAATACCGATCTTGTCCCGATTGTGCGTTAAAGATGGGCAAAGACGATAGACTTTACACCAACCAGTTTGACTGGGTAAAATAGGAAAGCGTTCCCTAATGTTTGTTCGTTTTTTTTCATTTTTTAAAAAGACAGTAAAAGAAGTAAGACAATAATTATAGCGAATTTCAGTGGAACAGCTTGAAAATATTACTAATCTATTTAAAGCAATTACTTCCTTTTACAAAACAATGGGGACTTAACTTATTTGACACGTGCAGTGTTATTGGCACAACACATATTGAACATTCTGATCACACACACACACACACGTGATTGTCATATGTAGTTCTACTCTCTTGACTTCTGCACAAATATGTATGACAAGTGATTGTATGATAAGAATGTTAGGAATGTGTTTCAAGAATAAACTACATTTTCCAGATAAATCATAGCTTCTTACTGTTTTATCGACTATTCCATAAGAGGAAAGAATCTTCATATAGTAACGAAGGAGATTAAGGGTCATAATAATTTTCAACTTGACATGAAAGTTTGAAGGTTTGAATACAGATTACAAGGGGCTTAGAGACAAGATTACGTAGGATTACAAAAACAGTTTTTTAACGACTGACGTTATCTACAGAGAGAAAGACGGGATTGCCATGGGCTCTCCTCTTGGCCCACTTTTGGCAGACTATTTCATGGCCAACTTGGAAAATGGAATCTTAAAATCAACAATGGAAAAATTGCTGCTGTACGAAAAGGCACGTCGATGACACTTTTATAGTTCGTCAGGATGATTCTGATTTAAATTGTATCTTACAGGAGTTTAACTACTGCCATCCTTCAATTGAACTTACAATGGAAGTTGAAAATGAATCAAAGATTCCATTCCTGGACGTCAAGTTGATAAGAAGAGACGATAGAACTCTGAAGAGATCTATCCACAGAAAACCATTATGGAATAGCCAAATAACAAACTTCTACAGTTGGATACCCATCAGTCGAAAGAGAGCTCTCATCATCTCGCTAGCTCACAGTACCAGAAGAATTCGCAGCGATGACTGCTTAGAAGGAGAGCTTCTGTTTCTCAAAAACATGCTGACTCCGGATGGATACCCAGCGCGTTTCGTGGAGAAGAACAAGAAACTTAAGCCAAAGGGGAAGAATGCACCTCAGTGTCAAAGAAAACACTATATTTGAGTCTGGAATTCAGGGGAGACCCAGCAGCAGATGTCCTTAAAAGGAGAATCTTGAGCTTCCTAAAGAAGACCTTTGCTGCAGCGACTTTAAGAGTGATATTTTCCAACCGCCCACTGCTTCGGAGCAATGTGAAGCACAGGCTTCCGCATGTGAACACTTCAATGTGCATATGTCAGTTCACCTGCTCGTGTAGAGTTAAGTACATAGGTCAATCTATGCGGGTCCTATCAAAACGTGTTAGAGAAGATTACCCAGCATGGCTGCAATCAGGAGCGCCATAACTGAACACCTCGTCAACACCTGTCACAGCATGTTAACTGACTCATCGTTCAGAGTCATTTTCAAAGTAAACAAAAATCTACGAAAGGCAGTGTGTTTCCTACTTCTTTGTACTGCAGACACCCTCTCCATATGAACCGAAAAACCGGAGATGTGTGTTCAATGGAAACTCGTTCAACCCCTACATTTACTTTGGGTCTAATTCTGATTGTTGACGCGTTTGGATAGCGAACGCTGAGTACGGCTGATATACCTGGCTCCACACGTGTAGGTGCATCTAATTCTGTTAGTCTCCTACGGTCCCGTTTTTTCGTCCCCTTCATTTTCCCTTTTTTCATTTTCATCTTTGAAAGTACTACTATTTCAACTTGTTCCCATGCTCGTCCTATTCACACCTTCAGTCGTTAAAAAACTATTTTCTAATCCTGTATAATTTTTCCCAAGCCCCTTGTAATCCATATTCACACCTTCAAACTTTCATGTCAAGTTGAAAATTATTATGACCCTTAATCTCCTTCGTTACTATGTGGGAAGAATTTTCTTTTCTTTTAATGTCTACATTAAAAATATTTGAAAAACATTTGAGCAAACAATGAAAAACACCAATCATAATACTGCGCATGAAATATGCGATATCATTTAATTCTGAATAAGTCACAGAATGTTTGTAGTCATTAAAAATAGTCCATTAATAATACTAGACCAGGTAGTCTTAGACGAGCACACTTTGATAATGGATGGGAAGGAAAAAGAAGAAGAAATATCAAACATTACTGAGACTCTCAAGCAAAACAACTACCCAAAGAACTTCATCAACAAAATCAACACTGACATTAAGTATGGTCGAAAACGTGTTCTGAAAACATGGACCTCAACAGTTGTCATTCCATATAGAGCAGAGACGTCAGACGATATCAGAAGAGTACTCAATAAGCTCGACGTCAGAGTTTTCTTCAAAACATTAGACACTCTGTGAAACAACCTTGTCCATATAAAAGATCAAATCCCTAAAGATTCTCTATATAATTGTGTCTATAAAATAAAATGCTTGGAATGTGATGTGATATACATCGGACCAAAATCTCGAGAAATCAAAATCAGAAGAAATGAACACCATAGAGTATCTGTTCGACTATCGACAAATCCAATTAGTGAACTAGAAAAGCTTGAAAACTCATCAGCCATAGGTCTACACGCTATAGAATCAGGTCAGAAAATTGATTTTGACAATACTGAAATAATCTAGAAAAATTTCAGAAATCACAAAGAATGTCCCACATCATGAGAAACACTTCATATCAAGTAGAATCCAAATTTTCTGAATAGGAATGATGGACTAAAACAGAATTTGACCTGGTTACAACACCTCCCTCCCCCATGAAATGACAAAATCAACACGAATGTGATAAGCAATTTCATTATGTAAACACATGCTGCTTTTATAATTTTACACACTTATCAAATCCAACAATCTACACCTGGTTTTGTTATCTTTACTAATTGGCCAACTTGACAACGTAAAAATGACCCCACGCTGAGGAACGATGATTAAGTTGTTATATATAAGCTGGGATTTTGTAAATTCTGGTTTAGTAATACTTTGATAAAGCTATTAGCAGCACTAAATAGCGGAACGTCAGTAAAAGCAATATCGTTTTGTTTTTCATTCATTAGGAAATACAAGAAACCTTTATTATAATGAATATCATATACATCTAAATTTTTCAACTGTAAAAACTTGTTGGCAAACAGTAAGACCAGCTGTGTACAGTATTTATGAGTTTCATAAAATAAACATTTTGCATTTGGATAGCAACAAGAACCAATCATTATCGAACGGAATAAATTCAAACAAGATCACTTCCTTCACTTATCTGGGCAGCACCAACTACAGGCAGAACAGATGAGAATGTCAAAGCCGGAATCAGCAAGACAAGGCAAACCATTATCACTCCGAAGTCAGTACGGAAATCTCTACTGTACTCAACACAAAGAACAGAATTCAGATATTCAATACCAATGTTAGGTCAGCTCTTCTATATGGGCCAGAAACTTGGCGCACGCGTTACGAAAAGCATTTCCAGCGGCCTGCTGAAGATTCTTATCAACAGCTACCTTCGCTCTGTGTTAAAGATCAAATACCTAGAAAGAATTAGCAACAAATGACTCTGGAAATAAGCCAACCAAGAACCTATCGCTCAAAAAATATGTAGGAGAAAATGGAGATGGAGACAGTTGAGTGACATCGCACTTCAAGCAGACTGTCGAGTTGAACCCGACTACGAAACGACTAGTCAGGCGTCTGAAAGTGACACTGAGGAGACCATGCGAGGAGGAGGTGATAGACTATGGGCAATCGTGAAGCCAATTCAAGAGGACCAGAGAGACTAAAACAGAATGGGGATGTGCTGTTGAAGCCCTACGTTCCACTCGGAACCCGGGGGAATAATAATAATAGTAATAATTTGGATGGCAAATAAAACTCCTTAAATAGCTATGCATTTTCGTTAAGACAGTTTAGAAGTCTTCACCTGGCATTAAAATTTAGAATGTATATTCTACATTGACTGAGGAACTTCTATCATGAAAAGCAATAACAAGCATTACTTCACAGGTTGGGGTAAACTTTGTAGGCAACTCGTGATTCTTTTAAAGATCATAATTTCTCTGCTTATAACTTCCTGATTGATTTCACTAACTTCCTGAACTAATAATAATTCTGTGAAATTTATTTTTAATTAAACGTAAACAATATAGTATCTAATTTGTTATTCTGTGCTTAATTTTCGGCATAGTGTCGTAGGTGTGAAGAAATTAAACTACGAAGAATTAATAAGAACAAATGTCACTCTACAGGGAAATGGAAAAATAAAACCGTTACCCAAGGATTCTGACTACTATAAGCATTGTGCAACACTAAATCAGAAAAGAAACTTGAGACAACTGTTGAGAAGAGTAAGCCTTCTACGGTCGGTTCATGCAAACCTGCATTATTTGCTCAATAATACGAAGTTTTCGCGGAACTAAGAGGCACAAAAAACATTTGGTAGGATTAAGGAACTGAATCGTTGACAGATAACGCTAAAGATGCCATTAATATATAGGCGATTCGTACTTCTCAGCTATGCGGTGATGGAGTAGTTACCGTCCTAGAACAAGCAGACAGAGTTGTGAAGTTGTGTTCTAACGCATGCAGGAAAAAAGGATTCTGAGACAAAAAACGAGTGCTTAAAGACTGTCTGAGTAATACAAAAATGCTCGTTGACTACCCACTAAAACAGACGATATACTTCTGCAACACGAAACCCCTGAAATTACTACGAGTGGGGCTTACGTTTACGTGTATGAGTTGACCACAAAAAACGTACCAGGAAAAGAAAGTGGCAAGACAACGCAACCGCCAGACATACATTGGAATAGTGTCTTATCGTAGGCCATCTATCTACCAAAAGTGTCTCCAATCTTATCATATAAACAACTAGTTTCTTACCGTATAGATTCAAGTGTTGATGTTATCTTATTACACTCTTTGCTAATACGTCAAAACTAAGATCTTCATTCATACGAACTGTGATGAAGATTTGACCGAATAGTTCCGAAGTAATTGGGCGCCGAGTAAGAAGTACACATACGTAAAAATTATATTGGTAAAATCGCAGAGAAATTGAAATATAATTCCAACATTTCCTTAGGCATACTGATCCAAACTTCTTAAGAGCAATTAATAAAAATTCATGCTTGATTTTTACTCAGTCGAAGAAAAAATGTATGTTCTTGTTTTGTCTATTTTAACTCTCTTTTGAACCGTCTGCAACTGATTGATGAAGACGTAATAGCTGACTGTTTGTCAACACTGTATGGTAAAGCTGAACTACTGAAGACAGAGTACGAAGCATGACCCACTACAACTTGATCATCAACATAACTCTGATTCCAACCCTGATACACTTATTTATTCGAAGGACAAGTGATCATAGAAAAGTCAAGAAATCAGAAGTCAACCAGCAATTAACGACACTACCTCAACAGAACACAGATTGATTGTGATTTGGGAAGAAAATTAAGGAAGTTAAGTAACGGCGATTCCGACGAGCATGTGTCATGAGTTGCCCAAAGAATTCCACTAACTAGCCCATACAGATATTATAAGCACATATGATTCCGTAAACCAAATTGTGTACTGTCCGATCATGGGTCATAACGTAGGAAGGTTTAATTTTACCAACTCGTGAAGCGAGTTTTCATGTGGTAAACGTAATATCAGGACGCACTACCAATAATAAAAATATCCAAAAAAGTCAAGAAATTATATTCAACTAAAACTGAAACTTGATAGTATCTAATTCAATTTTAGATTTTACCGTCGACTAACTGGACTAAAGTGCTCGGTCTCAGGTTGACATTTCGGCTCTTTGTGCAGACGCTTCAACGATATCTGGTCATATAACTTGAAATCAACTAGTGGATGGTGACTAGCGGTGGAATCCAGGATGCGCATTTCGTCCTATTTGAGACTCTCCAGCTGGATATAGCTGCATTTCCCAGTGACTGATGGTCTTCCCAATGTTGCACAAGAGGTGACCCTCGTGGCCCAGGAGCTCTAGTGGATAACGCTTTGGCGTCTGAAACTAGGGGTACTGGGTTCGAGCCTCGGTGGGAACACCATCACTCACTGAGGAATGCAGGTACATCCAACTGACGAGTCCCAAATAGGACGAAATGGGCATCCTGGATTCCACTGCTAGTCACTACCCACCAACTGACTTCATGAAACTTGAAAGGTTATACCTTAACCTAAAAACATTATTACTGAACAAAATATACATCATAAGTAAACTGAAATCATAAATAATTAAACGTAAATACAGAAAAGAAAAAAAGGAAAGATTATGGTGTCCTTACTCTGACTGAATCTCATCAACGGAGCATTTGAAGTGAATTGGACTTTGAACATAGATTTGAGTATACTGTCGAACTGTAAAAAAAAGGCGGAAACGAAATGACTATGATGTTATGAATAATTAGCCTAAAACAAAATTTTTAAACAAATATACCCAATGGCTTAATCCTTATTATTTGTCTTTGCACTTGTATAATCCGTAATCTAAACGCTTCCATTTGATCTTATGTGATGGTGTTGATAATGTGTTGTTTTGCGATTGTGAACTTGAGTGAATGAAACCAACGCTGATCGTGGAGATTTTGACTTCGGACTACCGGTTAGAAGTGTTTAATGTATGATTCTTGCTGACAGGGTTTTGATCTCATCTTGTTGAGAATATGCTACTTGATTCTTTTCAGGTACTTTACACGGATGATTTTTGGTTACTAATTTTTCGACATACTTGTTTTGTACTGGAAATCTCTTAGGTTGATTTTGGTTAAACAATTCTGTTTTATAGTTCTTCCTTCGTTTCCGAAAAGTAATTGGATCTATACATATCGGTCCAACGGCATTGCTGAGGTGATTTTGAGTTTTCTTATGTTGCTACTGTTAAATAGTGCCACAGATCTTATCGCAAACAACTGTCGTTTTGCTGTTGTCAGGGCACTCTGAGACCGTGTGTAACTCAAGGGTGCTTTGGTTAGCTATACAGTAGAACGTGAAGACTGATTTCCATCGTTCAGACCATAACACGTCAGTTTCCACCGCTACAATATGTATAGCATTGTCTAGTCCGATGTTTGAATCAACAAATATCCACTTCTTAAGGTGATAACACTTCATGCAATCTGTTTTACTCTTATTTCAATCAAGTACACATAGTAAGTTGAGTAAATCATAATACAGGAATTGAGTTCTGAGCACACATACATTCAAACCTCATAATCCTCCTCTTCGATTTAGTAAAGATAAAGTGTATGTGTATAAGGAAAACACGTGAACATACTTGAAAAAACAGACGCATGCAATAAATGAATTCATGAATAATCCCCATACAGACATTAATGAAAACAAAACATGCAGTTCAGCGGAGAGTCAGTCTCTTTCCGGCGGCGAATTCATTCAATTAACTGTACATTCACAATTATGTATAATCATTTGTGTGTGTACACATTAGGTTTGCCCGATAGGAATAAAAATAAGTTAGGGTTATTGTTGTCAAGACATTTCAAAAATGTGACGAGTAATCAAACTGTAACTACGGGGGTGAAGATTAGTAAGAGGGTAGTGGTGATGTGTTGTCAAAAACCATATTTATTAACACATAAAAGAAGTTGAATAGGCGTGAAACAGTTCAGTAAAAAAATCAATAGTTTAATGAGTGAGTTGTGATTAGGATGAACATAGAAACGAAGGAAAATATGGAATTATGTAAGAGTTCTAAAAATTACAAACGTTATAAGGAGTTAGAAAGAAAAAAACAAGAACACAAACATCAAGTCAGTAGAAGTCAACACGGCTGTTACCATGATAGCAGCAGTGATTAGATGATTTTCTTTTGCATACATAACTCTGGTTTTTTCAACTGAATGGCTAAGGCTTCAGCAATGCAAACGAGACGAAAGCGTATTGCATCTGGTAGGTTATTCTTGGCTCTGTAGATTACTTTGAAGGAGGCGTTTGTTAAGATGGAATGGTTAGTGTTGACAAGGTATTCGATAATCGCACTCCTTATACAGCCACCATACAAAAGAAAGCCATTCAACCACTTCTGCTATCATGACAACAACCGTGTTGATTTCTAGTGACCTGATGTTTGTGTGCCTGCTTTTCCAACTCCTTGTAACACCTGTATTTCTTCACAACTCTTACATAATTCCATATTTTCCTTCGCTTCTTTGTACATCCTAATCACAACGCACTCATTATCTTATTGAGCAACTACAATACACTTATTCAACTTCCCTTATGCATCGACTAATATTGACAACCATTTTTGGACAACTCATCACCACTATCCTCTTACTTACTAATCTTTAACCCTCCCCCCGCGCATCCTAGTTACAATTTGATTACTCGTCGCATTTTGGAAATATTTTGGTGATGTAAACAATAACCCTAACTTATTTTTATTCCTATCGGACAAACCTAATGTACACACACATACACATACAAAAATAATTATAGATAATTGTGAAGAGTCCCAAACTAGGACGAAACAGCTGTCCAGTACTCCCAGGTTTTCCAATGGTTCTCTAACTAATGTCAGCTCATGATGAAAAATCCTCCATCCAATCAAACAAAATCCCTACAAACCAACACTTGAATAATTGTGATTGTACAGTTAATTGAATGAATTCGCCGCCGGAAAGAGACTGACTCTCCGCTGAACTGCGTGTTTTATTTTCACGAAGTGAATTTTTTTTGAAAATCAATTGTTGCTCATATAATGAGCAGTTACCTGAGAGCTTGATACGTTTGATTGTTTTATTCGAATTATTATCTACAAGTAAGTTGACAAAGATTTTCTCTCCATGAAAATATTTCTACAACAGAAAATAGAAAACACCGAAAAAAAATAAACAAATAAGCAAACAAATAAATAAATAGATGAACAGATAAGTGCGCACAAGGAATGGAAGTTTCCTTGTTTTTCTACAACCTTAAGCCTCTCAGCAACAAAATATATAGAGATAAATTTATTCCCTGTTAATGAAAACATACCTAGGAACAATGCAGAAAAAATATTACTGATCGTCAAAAAGAGGCAGAGTACTTACTTACTTACTTATACCTAATAAATACAATGACAAATGCATTGACAAAGAGGAGAAAGGAAAGAAGGAAAAGAGAGAATGAAAAATAAGCATGAAGACATACAGAATTCAGTAAAGAAGCAGAGAAATGGATGGACGAAAGATATGTTACTATATATATTTGCATGCGAAATGGCAAACACTTGGTTTGAGTGACAACCTGAAATCTAAAACAACTAACTGCGCATCAGTTCACACAGTGTACAGAAACACAAAAGGAAGGAATTATAAATTAAACTAAAAACAGGACGCAAGGAGATGGATGGACGGAGAAGGATATGAATAGAATAACAAGATGAATGTTGCCTAAAATCAAGAACGAATATATATGTACATATAAAAACATTGCTATAGAGTTTGAAGTTTTGTTTGCTTTTGAAATATTAAATTTCAATGCATCTTTAAAGATTTCCAGAAGAAGACATCACCTTAAATGAATAACTTTGAAAAAAAGAACGATTTCACTGAATAAAGTCGTGTCAAATTACACTAATATTGTCATGTATTATAACTATTATTCACTGCGTGTATTTCAAGGGAAATATTATGGAAAAGAAAGTAATCACAAACTTCTCTATACTGAACAAAATAAAAAAGTCTGAGTTAATTATTTTTTTACGAGTTGATCACGGATCGATATCAGTTAGAGAACCATTGAAAAATAAGGAGTACTGGACAGCTGTTTCATAGTAGTTTGGGAATCATCGTCAGTATGCACCCACTGGGACTCGAACCCAGGACATTCCAGTTACAAGGCAAGCTCGTATACCATTCAGCCACTAAGACCCGATTTAATGGCTCATGAATTCTAACTTCTTACAATTCGTGATTTTAGCGCGACCCCAACCATTGTCGTTGGTTGGACATCCATCCTCACATGTGACAACTGGTTGAACCTCACTGGTCACGACTTCTCACTAGAACTCCAGGAAACTCCATCCTGAACAAGTCACTAGCGATCATCAGATTAATTTTCTATAGTTTGGTTTGTAAGGGTTAGTTATGTTTTTACGAGTTGATCACAGATTGATATCAGTTAGAGAACCATTGAAAACCAGGGAGTACTGGACAGCTGTTACCCAAACTAGGATGAAACAGCTGTCCAGTACTTCCTGGTTTTCAATGGTTCTCTAACTGATATCAATCTGTGATCAACTCGTAAAAACATAACTAACCCTTACAAACCAAACTATAAAAAACTAAGTTAATTATAATTACAGAACGTATCCACATCAAATCTACACCAGTCGCGGCTATGTAAAGAATAAGCTTACGAGCGGAACAACAAATACTCAGCATATGCTTCACTACCGTCAAGCGTAGGATGATAATTCTGCACGACTAGTTTGAACTGACTCCTAGTGAAATAGCTACAGGTTGGAGGCTTCCTGCCGATTGCTTCCAATCATCTAATATCAACAATTCATCGTGAAGCATCGTGATGGCGAGCCACCTAGTGACATAGTGGCCACATTGCAAGCATCACTGACAGAATGTACTCTGCACCAAACTAAAGACTAGACACATTGCACTAGTTACTAACTAGTCTCCAGTTAGCAGCTACATATATTGACTATTTCATCTATTTGGTAGGCTACATCACCCGCAAGTGATTGGATACTGAAGGCCTACTTGGCATTTAACAAAACTGTTGGCCATCCTTGGAGGTTACCTACCACAAGGTAGATGGAATCCATATTAGTTTGCTCTATTCTCTTTTACGAGTGTGAGAAACAGTCGCTGAAAATGGGAAGTGCAAAAAAATTGGGAGTTTTCTACCATATATATACATATCGTCTTTATTCCATCGCAACAATACAATAAGTCATCACATGGCTAGATGTAGACCATTACGTAAACAGAGAATGTCAATCAACGAAGTTTAGAAGCTTCATAGATTGAAATAGTTGGGACATATTATGGATTTAGTAGGAGTAGTAATAGTAGTACACATCAACAAAATGTATTTATAGTCTTCACAGACAGAAAAAATAAATAACAGATTCGTAGGCGAGATTAAAATGTCTATATATATATATTGAGTACAGATAGTATTTCAACAATCACGTATACTTTAAAATGCATCTACATAAGAGTATATATACCAGCAAATAAATTTTAAAAAAGTTATTTCCTATTCAACAAATCTCGCTGTAGATGTTAATTAAAAATTTGCATGATGGATAGTTCCTAAATGAATGAATACTGAATTAATTTACAAGTCAGTAGAAGAACAAGGATTCAATTTACGCTAGGACAAATTTTCTTGTAAATGTCTATGAACTACGACTATTCACTATCCACAAAAGCATTGATAGAATGGATATATATATATATATTTATTCAGTAGATACTACCACCGAGCTTACAGAAAACTTTAAGTTCATACCCTGAGGTTGTTGGGACTCGACAACATGGTGTTACTTCAGCAGAAAGTAACTTTTATAAAAACCGCTGAAAACCAGGTAATACTGAAGAGCTATCTCATCCTAGTTTGAGTTTTAGTGAGAAGCTGTGACTAGTGAGATACACCACCAGGTCGAGTGGGAGGACAAATACTCGCCGATAACATTGGCTGGTGATCACGCTAAAATCGCCAACTGACGGAAATCGGAATCCATCGGTCCTTGGATTCACGTTTAAATGGCTGAGTGATCAACAAGCTTGGTCTTGTAACCTGTAGGTCTTGATTTCAATTCCCGATGGAATTGTCGTTGCATGCTCTTGAAGAGTTTCAAACTAGAACGAAACAGCTGTCCATTACTCCCTGGTTCTCGATGGCTCTCCAATCGATATCAATCAATCCGTGATCAAAACTTGAAACAAATCAAATCCCCATATCTAACTCTTGAAAAAAATTAAATGATAGTTTACGAGAGACCAGGACCTCAATCAACTGCAAGCATAGTCAAAGTATTCACTAAAGTAATGGATTGAGGCGAACTTCTATATAGCTCGACAGAGTAGACTTCTCAGTGAATGAATACTATCAGACTAGAAAAATACATGTTATCAAACTGTACGTTTCAGTTATAACCTGAGCTACATTATTATTATTGTTTCCTTTAGTTCCTAGAGGAACATAGGGCTTCAATCGCACGTCTCCATTCCGTCCGGTTATCTGCCAACGTTTTCACCTGGCTCCACATTCGCCCACATTCTTTCATCTCCTCTTAACATGACCTCCTCCATGTCACCCTCGCACTGACGACCAACTCGCCACTTCCCATTCGGGTTCCACTCGAGCGATGGCCTGTCGTGTGATGTCACTTGATGGTTTTCTCAGAGTATGGCCAATCCACCTTCATTTCTTCCTGCATATTTGTTGCACAATCCTGAGCTATATACAAGATATGAATATGATCTCCAGGAGGAAGACCCTATGATACACAAAACATCATTTTGACTTCTCCCCCCATCTTGTCTACTAACCAGATGGCACAATAAATGCATCCTTCACATTACTACTTTCGATTCTTCCCATGGGAGAATATAGACACTTTTAGTACATAGTTACTGATTATAATGCTTAAGACAGGCATCTAATAGTCATCGTATTCTTTCTCCGATAACCTCACAATCAATGTTCAGAAATTCTTTCAGATGGTTTTCATGCAACCAGCGCTCTAATCTCCTGAATAAGAATCGTCGTTATTCATTCACTTAAAACTCATCAGCTGAGTAAATCTATAAAAAATGGACGTTACTTACACACAGAATCAGTATACATGAATAAGAACGCGTACGATTTGGGCTAGTCAAAAACTTTGAATCCATAAACAGGCAAACTGATTTGTCCAGATAATACAAGAATAAGTAGTCAGTAAAGCTTACAAGATTCACAAGACATTGCAAAGACAATAATCTTAGCTAAATACTTCATCGAAGTGAACGAATAAGATACTATTGAAGACAGTAACTAAACTACTGATGCAATGTTACTCTCATATAAAAAGCAATGTTTGTATACAACATTTCAAAAATATTCAAGTGTTGGTTTGTAGGAATTTGATTGGTTTCAGAATTCCATCATCAACCGATATCGGTTAGACGACCACAGGAAAACCTGTAAATCCTGAAATCAATCAAATCCCCGCAAACCAACACTTGGTGCTTACTAGTGACTAACCCTATTCAGGTAGGTAGTTACCTGGGTTCTAGTGGGAAGTCGTGACTAGTGAGGTGCAGCAGGTCGAGTGTGAGGACCAATACTCGCCGATGACATTCGCTAGTGGTCGCGCCGTATCATGAATTAGCAGAAGTTGGAATTCATGGGCCATTGGATCGGATCCTAGTGGTTTAGTTGTCGACGAGCTCAGTGCGTGCGCACTGATGAAAAGTCCCAAACTAGGACGAAACAGCTTTCCACTACTCCCTGGTTTTCCAATGGTCCTCTAATCGATGTCAGTTCATGATGAAATCATGAAACCATTTCAAAGACGTTTTAGAGCAGGTTGTCATTTCAAATGGTAAAAATAAGTAGTTATGTACTGTTTTTGAACATAAATCTTATTTTTCAAAATGGCATAATGGATATTTGGAAAACCAAATGCAGAAAGTGTGATTAATGCTGCACAAAACTTTAGAATTAATGTAGAAACAGATGAACAGATGTGAACCTAAAAGCCCGCCTTAATCGGTGATGAGTGATTCTTAAGTGTAACATATTAGATTGCATACAACAATTTTAAAATACATAATCATTAGATGTTAGCACATTAAATAAATTGTTAATTACATTTTTGTCTAGCGTCGCTTCCACTCGAAGACTACCAACACTCATAAGAAAGTCTCGTGATAATTCAGCCGATGGCTGTTGGCCTGGTTCATTGGGTGCATACGTCAGTTTGCGGACAGCCATACGTACAGAATTTCTATAAGATAGTGGAAATGAAGTGAGAAGTAAATTTAAAAATTAAATCAATTCAGTCATACAATGTTGATCAAAACAGTTACATGATATGAGAAACAAGTCTTAGTTGATGTCACGTTTTCTTTTGAAGTCACAAATGCATTCTACTCTAAGAACATGAAGTGAAATAGCTGAAGACACTAACCAGCTACTCCTAGCGGTTTAGTAACCAACTAGACTTCAGAACAGATACAGAAAATTCGATTAGTTCCAGCCAATATACGGTGCCTGTTACACATATGAATATCTCTTTCGGCAGTGTATTAAACAGTGGTGCTTTTCTCAACATGTAGCTGGTAGTATTTTTGATGGCCACGGTCATTTGATTATTATTATTGTTATTATTATTATTCATCATAATTATTATGATGACATTATTATTATTGTGTTCGTAAAATCGCCCTTATCAACTGAAATAAAAAGACATTTGTTGCGTAAGCAAGACAACAACCCAGCGTAGATTTGGCCTGCAACAAAACTGGGAATATTAGATGGTTGGAGACAATCGGCAGGAAGCCAGAGACGTTACCACTGAACACTGACTGCAGCACTGGGTGAGGCGGGTTCGAATCTCGGAAGGGACATGAGTTCCTTCAAGGTACGCCTTGCTGATGAGTGCCAACTAGCGCGAAACCTAGGTTCAAGGCTTCCTGCAAATTTCCTCCAACCATCTAATACCAGCAATTCACAGTGCACCGTAATGGCGAGCCACCTAGCATGGTGGCCACATTGCAAGCTTGACTGATAGAATTCAGTCTGCAGCGAAGATAGGACTAGACATATTACACTAGTTACTGACCAGTGTGTAATCAAAAAAAAATTGGGAATATTTACACACCGATATCACTTATCTATGACTTATCGCTGACTGCCGATTTGATAAGTTAAAAAAAGCGTAAACCTTTTAGTTTGAGTTTCCAGATAGTTAGAAACCCTAAATCATTTGATTGAAAATGGCGGGAAGTAAGTTCATAGTTCATTTCTATCGAAGAGTATTCTTATACATCTTCAATCATTTTATTCTGATACTCGAGTCCTACGACTTCTTAAGACTACTAGTATCATCTATCAACACTGTTTACCAACCTTTTCATAGTATTTGCAATACACCGTTCACTCTTATTAGCACAGTTTTCAAAGTCACTATATCACACGACAAAAATAAAATCTAAAGCCTTAATGTGTATTATATCATCAAATAGTTTACAGTTTCATTACCACATTAATTACATTTCTGCAGTTTGCTTTACAAAATACCAAGTTGCGTTCAGTTCCCAAACAATTTGATGCCTATATAAATCGTTTGGTCTTACCCCGCAAATCACGGTAAAATATAAGGACTTCAATTGTGAACGATCTAGTCAAAATCCCAACGATACACTGAGACGATATGCTTTTATATATCCAATTAAATTCATGACGAACCTCTAATATGATAAATATTCTGTCCAATATCTATTTGTGTGGGTGGTTCCTGCAATTTGTCTTATTAAACACAATTAGTATACAAATTAAATACCCACCTACGCATAAATAACAGACCTTGAATGGCATAACAATAATACTAATACTTAAAACCACCTAGACACTGTCTAATAAACATACAACAACAAAACCAACTACTATTCTGTGACACAAAATGAACTACCATAACCTCGTCTGGTGAACAGATTTCGCATGTGCGAGAACCACGACTAAATGCGAAATGATACGAAAACATGAACCAGTGATTGACTAAAATTCCAATGTTGTGAGTAGGCTTAAATTCACCGAAAATGAAAAGTCCTGATTTGGCATTTATTTCAGTTAATTTATACGATAGCTGAATTAAATGAAGTGATTAAACTGATATGGAGATACTAGTTTATACTACTCATATATTAGTTAGGCATAACACTTCATCTAATATAGAACGGTATTTTCTGAGGAAAAAAAGGAAGCATGATTCAACAAATAGACTTTTCGACACTTTCATTCACTAAAGCTTTACAATCGTAATCATACACAATTTCTTTCACGAATGTAACCAATAATTTCACATTTCAAACACCGTAATAAACAAGATAAATGCAAAGCGGTTATGATTAATGGATGCCAATCAAAATATGATGGAGGCACAGTAAAGGTGAGTAATTGTCGATAAACTGTTGCGTAATGAGACCAAGTGCATAATGCATTAACAACTTTCATCAAAATGACAAACTAATGATCCCGCAAGGATTTTCAGACCATTATCGACTTTTGGCATATACACCTCAAGATGTCTGTTAACAAAACGACACAAATAATAATATCCTGAACAGCTGATGCAAAAAAGAGACATACATTATAAACACAGCCTGCAAGTGTATTTCTCAGGGATCGGAAAGACTACATAAACAAAGTAACTCAAAGTTTTTGAAAAGGATCGATAAACTATCAGTTTAGTAGTAAATACCATGATGGAAAGATTAGAGCAGTACGACTAATAATGTGACAATTTTACAGTTTTCCAGATTCTAAATATCTGGATCGCCCTACAATTTAATCGCTTAATGTTTAGGTGCTTTTTTGGAACCTGTTAGGAAATAACTGTACAACTGTGAAGTGAAGTTACGGAAGGAGATCTCGTTGCTGACTTGAGCACTTTCAATTATTCACTTACTTCGTCCGTGAGACCTTTGGATTCAGCGATTGTAGACAGGACATGAATTCTTCGAATAAAGATGTGATATCTCTTGATATCAGATTATTTCAGCATTACAGATTGAAGAGACCACGGTAGGAGGTGGACACCGACTGATTTTGGTAGATTTTCTTTTTTGCCTTGTAGATAACTTTAAAGGATGAAGTTACTTAGATAGAATGACTGCTAACAACAACATGTTCAATTATCAGACTTTTTATAGGCCCACCACTAACTCTCTGCAACCATGCAAGTCAGTGTTCTTGCATCTTCCTGAACAGAATATGCTTGTAACGGCGTAGTTCCACAAACGCACATCTACTAGAATACAGATGAAGAGTTGATCAACACCATTATCTTATCTTCTGAGTTGTTAGAAAACTGGTTGACTGAGTGCAAAGCATGGCTACAACAAATGTCTTTGACTGAACACTAGTCAGTAACTAGTGTAAAGCTTCCTGCAAATTTCTTCCTTCCAGCTTCCTTCCAATCATCTAATATCAACAATTCACAGTGCACCGAGATGGAGAGTCACCACCTAGTGGCATAGTGGCCACATTGCAAACTTCACTGACAGAACTCAGTCTGCACCAAAGGACTAAACACATTACACTAGTTACTGACTAGTGTCCAATAAAAATTATCCAATACGGTTCTACCGGAGGTCAATCGCGAGTCCGAACAGCTCCTCAGTGGTAACATATGTGATTGCATCACTGAGTGGGGCGAGTTCGGATCTCGGAAGGGACATGAGTTCCGTCGAGGTTGCAGATACGCCTTAACGATGCGTGCCAACTAGCACGAAGCCTAGGTCCAAGGGTTTCCTGCCGATTGCTTCCAACCATTTAATAACAACAAATGTCTCTTTATAAAGTGTAAGACCTCTCACAATGTCAGAAGCTAAGTTACCTTTGATGCCAAGGTTTATATACAACATTTACTTGTTCGTAGAAAACAGACAACACTTCGCTTGATATTTTCATCTATGAAATAAAATAGATATTTGTTTTCCACCAAAAATGTTTTCAAAATTTATTTCTGCTAATATCGTATCAAGGCAACATATACGTTTAATGCGAATATCGAATAATCTAATCCTATATATTCTGAGATTTATACCAACGCATATGCAACAAAACTCTATAATTATTCACCTTTATTACACTTGCGTTAAATGAACCCTGTGCCATTGCATTTATCTGTTTTGTTACTTTGTTTTAAATGTGAAACTATTGGATATACTTGTGAAACGAATTGTATATGATTTTGTATGATTGTTCGACCCCCGGCCGACGCATTCCTTTACCTCGCTAAGCCAGTAAGTAATACGGTTGGTAAAGAGGCAAGGCTGGACATGATGCTGGCAACCCCATCCCGTAAAAACATATACCACTGCTACCGAAACTTCAAAGCTCTAGCTTGAAGCCCTATGTTCCACTAGGAACGTAAAGGAATAAAAAAAATACGATTGTACAGCTGTAGTAAGTGAAACTGTCAAATTGAGTACCTTTGCTGAATCTCGTGTTTCGTTTGAAGTTGACGAAGGTAAATCCCATAATGGATGAATGATTTATAAACCATTATAACTGTTCTGTAAGTAAAGAGTAACTGAGATATCTAAGGAAGGCATCAAACACATTCACTCCCTTGAAGCGCATCGTCGAGCG